ATTGTTGCTTATCCATTGTTCACTAGATATATCAATGTAATTACACCCAACACAATGTTGAAAAACGGAACGCTTCCCACCACTTGATCACATAACTAGACGTGAGCTGGACGTGATCCCAACGCTGCCACCAATGTAGCGGAAGAAAGTGAAAGCCGCAACAGGGACTCTAACCAGGGCTCATACGTGGCAAAGTGAGCTCTAACGGCCGTTACCATGAAAGCCTAGTAGGCCTCTGGGCAGCGGCAGTAGGCCTACAATGCTGGCATATGCCTTGTTACAATAGACTAAGTACAATGGCTTGCGAAAGTATTCACCCCCTTGGCATTTTTCCTATTTTGTTGCCTTACAACCTGGAATTAAAAATGATTTTTTTGGGGGGTGTATCATTTGATTTACACAACATGCCTACCACTTTGAAGATGCAAAATCTTTTTTTATTGTGAAACAAACAAGAAATAAGACAATAAAAATGAAAACTTGAGCACGTATAACTATTCAACCCCACAAAGTCAATACTTTGTAGAGCCACCTTTTTGCAGCAATTACAGCTGCAAGTCTCTTGGGGTATGTCTCTATAAGCTTGGCACATCTAGCCACTAAGATATTTGCCCATTCTTCAAGGCAAAACTGCTCCAGCTCCTTCAAGTTGGATGGGTTCCGCTGGTGTACAGCAATCTTTAAGTCATACCACTGATTCTCAATTGGATTGAGGTCTGGGCTTTGACTAGGCCATTCCAAGACATTTAAATGTTTCCCCTTAAACCACTCAAGTGTTGCTTTATCAGTATGCTTAGGGTCATTGTTCTGCTGGAAGGTGAACCTCCGTCCCAGTCTCAAATCTCTGGAAGACTGAAACAGGTTTCCCTCAAGAATTTCCCTGTATTTAGTGCTGTCCATCATTCCTTCAATTCTGACCAGTATCCCAGTCCCTGCTGATGAAAAACATCCCCCACAGCATGATGCTGCCACCACCATACTTCACTGTGGGGATGGTGTTCTCAGGGTGATGAGAGGTGTTGGGTTTGCGCCAGACATAGCATTTCCTTGATGGCCAAAAAGCTCAATTTTAGTCTCATCTGACCAGAGTACCTTCTTCCATATGTTTGGGGAGTCTCCCGCTTTTGGCGAACACCAAACGTGCTTGATTATTTTTTTCTTTAAGCAATGGCTTTTTTCTGGCCACTCTTCCGTAAAGCCCAGCTCTGTGGAGTGTACGGCTTAATGTGGTCCTATGGACAGATACTCCAATCTCTGCTGTGGAGCTTTGCAGCTCCTTCAGGGTTATTTTTGTTCTCTTTGTTGCCTCTCTAATTAATGCCCTCCTTGCCTGGTCCGTGAGTTTTGGTGGGTGGCCCTCTCTTGGCAGGTTTGTTGTGGTGCCAAAAAAAAATGTTTTAATAATGGATTTAATTGTGCTCTGTGGGATGTTCAAAGTTTCTGATATTTTTTTATAACCCAATCCTGATCTGTACTTCTCCACAACTTTGTCCCTGACCTGTTTGGAGAGCTCCTTGGCTTTCATGGTGCTGCTTGCTTGGTGGTTCCCCTTGCTTAGTGGTGTTGCAGAGTCTGGGGCCTTTCAGATCATGTGACAGATCATGTGACACTTAGATTGCACACAGGTGGACTTTATTTAACTAATGATGTGACTTCTGAAGGTAATTGGTTGCACCAGATCTTATTTAGGAGCTTCATATCAAAGGGGGTGAATACATATGCATGCACCACTTTTCCATTATTTATTTTTAGAATTTTTTTGAAACAAGTAATTTTTTTCATTTCAATTCACCAATTTGGACTATTTTGTGTATGTCCATTACATGAAATCCTAATAAAAATCCATTTAAATTACAGGTTGTAATGCAACAAAATAGGAAAAAACGCCAAGGGGGATGAATACATTTGCAAGGCACTGTATATAACATGATTGACACGACCGTAAAAATCATAATGAAACGGCCTTGGAAGTGCCATAAGTGTAAGCCAACATAATTCATTATTTTACATTAACCTGTTTAACTGCATTGATATGGTTTAATTGATCATAGTCCATACTCGTTCTACAGTGCATTCGGAAAGTATTCACATTTTGTTACGTTACAGCTTTATTCTAAAATGGAAATTGAGCTCAGGTGCATCCTGTTTCCATTGATCATCCTTGAGATGTTTCTACAACTTGATTGGAGTCCACCTGTGGTAAATTCAATTGATTGTACATGATTTGGAAAGGCACACACCTGTCTATATAAGGTCCCACAGTTGACAGTGCATGTCAGAGCAAAAACCAAGCCATGAGGTCGAAGGAACTGTCCGTTAGAGCTCCGAGACAGGATTGAAGGTCCCCAAGAACACAGTGGCCTCCATCATTCTTAAATGGAAGAAGTTTGGAACCACCAAGACTTTTCCTAGAGCTGGCCGCCCGGCCCAACTGAGCAATCGGAGGAGAAGGGCCTTGGTCAGGGAGGTGTTCAAGAACCTGATGGTCACTGAAAAATATGGGTTGTTTATGAATTCGAAGGACCAATAAAAAGGGATAAAACATTTAGGTGCTGGATTTCAGGCCCGGGGCAACCACCACAGGGTGTCCGTTCAGAACATGAGGAAGCAGTAGTTTCAATTCAAGGTTTAACGAAGATCCACACACACACACATACAACACCACTCTCTTTGATACTAATTGTGGTTCTGTAAGGGAAAGAGGAGAACCTAGGCTATAGCTCAGTATGGGAAAAATATGCCTATTTGCAGGTCAACAACTAAACAGTGTGGACTCAAACACATGATAGATGCACAAAAAACAATAGAGCAATGTAGATATAAATAGAAATAGATATCTACACATTATAAAACAACATAATAAGCATGAGAGATCTACAACCGAAAATAGCCTAGCACCACAGACAAATGCTAACAAATGCTAATCACTAATAAGCATCCTAAATAGTAATGCATTCTGGATGACAATGGTAATGCTAACGTTACCGCTAGCGGGAGTACGCAAAGCTAGCTAGCTAACAAGTTTAACACAAATGGTACATACACTACTAGTCCAAAGTTTGGACACACCTACTCATTTTTCTTTATTTGTACTATTTTCTACATTGTAGAATAATAGTGAAGACATCAAAACTATGAAATAACACATATGGAATCATGTAATAACCAAAAAAGTGTTAAAGAAATCAAAATATATTTTATATAGCCAACTTTTGCCTTGATGATAGCTTTGCACACTCTTGGCATTCTCTCAACCAGCTTCATGAGGTAGTCACCTGGAATGCATTTCAATTAACAGTTGTGCCTTCTTAAAAGTTAATTTGTGGAATTTCTTTCCTTCTTAGTGCATTTGAGACAATCAGTTGTGTTGTGACAAGGTAGGGGGAGTATACAGAAGATAGCCCTATTTGGTAAAAGACCAAGTCCATATTATGGCAAGAACAGCTCAAATAAGCAAAGAGAAATGACAGTCCATCATTTCTTTAAGACATGAATGTCAGTCAATATGGAACATTTCAAGAACTTTTATAGTTTCTTAAAAACCATCAAGCGCTATGATGAAACTGGCTCTCATGAGGACCACCACAGGAATGGAAGACCCAGAGTTACCTCTGCTGTTACCAGCCTCAGAAATTGTAGCCCAAATAAATGCTTCACAGAGTTCAAGGCACAGACACATCTCAACATCAACTGTTCAGAGGGGACTGTGTGAATCAGGCCTTCATGGTCGAATTGCTGCAAAGAAACCACTACTTAAGGACACCAATAAGAAGAAGAGAGTTGCTTGGGCCAAGAAACATGAGCAAAGGACATTAGACCGATGTAAATTTGTCCTTTGGTCTGGAGTCCAAATTGGAGATTTTTGGTTCCAACCACCGTGGCTTTGTGAGACGCGATGTGGGTGAACAGATGATCTCCACTTGTGTAGTTCCCACCGTAAAGCATGGAGTAGGAAGTGTTGTGGTGTGGGGGTGTTTGGCTGGTGACATTGTCTGTGATTTACTTAGAATTCAAGGCACACTTGACCAGCATGGCTACCACAGCATTCTTCAGCGATACGCCATCCTATCTGGTTTGGGCTTAGTGGGACTATCATTTGTTTTTCAACAGGACAATGACCCAACACACCTCCAGGCTGTGTAAGGGTTATTTTACCAAGGAGAGTGATGGAGCGCTGCATCAGATGACCTGGCCTTAAGAATCCGCTGACCTCAACCCAATTGAGATGGTTTGGGATGAGTCGGACGGCTGAGTGAAGGAAAAGCAGCCAACAAGTGCTAAGCATATGTGGGAACTCCTTCAAGACTGTTGGAAAAGCATTCCAGGTGAAGCTTGTTGAGAACATGCCAAGAGTGTGGAAAACACGTTTAAAAAAAAATATATATATATAAATAAATGTGGGACACAAAAAAGGCAGTGTAGAACACCATTGGCCAAAATGCATTGCTCCAATAACTTTCAAAATATTTTTCTGAAGTTTGCCCCCCTCCAAAATGTATTTTCCTATGAAAGTAGTTGCACAAAAATGTTTGTATTTTGCTACGAGTTAATTAGTACAAAAATGTGTGTATTCTCATACGAATTAAACCACACAAAAATGTCAGAAAAACGCACAAAATATGCTGAAATACTTTTTGTATATATTTCCACGAATTGAGTGTGAGATTGTGTTGGATATTTGTAGAGAGAGACTGGAGAGTCGTGAAGAAATAGACAAACCACATGCTACTGAGACAGACCTCGTAGGAGATGTACTGCTTCTCAAACAGGTCTGTCACAGCCAGGTTGAAGACTACGACGTACATAAGTTGAAGATAACAGAGGTTAGAACAGCGTCATAGTCACGTTCGGTGAGAAAACTCTTGAAAGTGAACAGATTCATAGGACCAGCGCCATTGCTAAAATAGCATCTCTGGTCCCTTTGTTAAGAAATTATTCTGCATTTATGCAAAGAGTTATGTGATATTAGAATATTCGTGTTGTTGGCGCTAACAATGTACTTGGTTGTGTGGAGGTTCCAGGTAAATAACAGCCATGATGGGGTTAGCCAGGACCGCCATAGCGTAGACCAGACACAGAACACCATGATAGTATTTGAAGTGAGGGATGTTCTCGAAACTGTTGATGTAGAAATATGACTGGCGATTGAATGTAGCATTGTAAGAGATTAGGACTGACTGCTCGTAAGCCATGGTCCAGGAATCTGGATGGATGGATGGATACACTCTTGGTCTGCTGTGTTAACTTGGTATGTTTGCAGGATCATGCAGAGAGAACAACGAGTTAAGAATATGCAGATGGTGTCATGATAAAATGACTCCCTATTACAAGAGCCAGGGCTCACTTGAACAAGAGACTGAAAGTTAAATAAAGGACACAACAACTAAACAAGTTATGACTAATTAAGGCACCATATCTCTGTTCAAATAATGTGTTCAGCCCAGGTCTAGAGTGATGTAAAGTTGATATGGTGGACCTGGTAACCCAGGTCTAGTGTGATGTAAAGTTGATATGGTGGATCTGGTAACCCAGGTCTAGTGTGATGTAAAGTTGATATGGTGGATCTGGTAGCTCAGGTCTAGAGTGATGTAAAGTTGATATGGTGGACCTGGTAACCCAGGTCTAGTGTGATGTAAAGTTGATATGGTGGATCTGGTAACCCAGGTCTAGTGTGATGTAAAGTTGATATGGTGGATCTGGTAACCCAGGTCTAGTGTGATGTAAAGTTGATATGGTGGATCTGGTAACCCAGGTCTAGAGTGATGTAAAGTTGATATGGTGGACCTGGTAACCCAGGTCTAGTGTGATGTAAAGTTGATATGGTGGACCTGGTAACCCAGGTCTAGTGTGATGTAAAGTTGATATGGTGGACCTAGTAACCCAGGTCTAGTGTGATGTAAAGTTGATATGGTGGACCTAGTAACCCAGGTCTAGTGTGATGTAAAGTTGATATGGTGGTCCTGGTAACCCAGGTCTAGTGTGATATAAAGTTGATATGGTGGACCTGGTAACCCAGGTCTAGTGTGATGTAAAGTTGATATGGTGGACCTGGTAACCCAGGTCTAGTGTGATGTAAAGTTGATATGGTGGTCCTGGTAGCCCAGGTCTAGTGTGATGTAAAGTTGATATGGTGGACCTAGTAACCCAGGTCTAGTGTGATGTAAAGTTGATATGGTGGACCTAGTAACCCAGGTCTAGTGTGATGTAAAGTTGATATGGTGGACCTAGTAACCCAGGTCTAGTGTGATGTAAAGTTGATATGGTGGTCCTGGTAGCCCAGGTCTAGTGTGATGTAAAGTTGATATGGTGGACCTGGTAACCCAGGTCTAGTGTGATGTAAAGTTGATATGGTGGACCTGGTAACCCAGGTCTAGTGTGATGTAAAGTTGATATGGTGGTCCTGGTAGCCCAGGTCTAGAGTGATGTAAAGTTGATATGGTGGACCTGGTAACCCAGGTCTAGTGTGATGTAAAGTTGATATGGTGGTCCTGGTAACCCAGGTCTAGTGTGATGTAAAGTTGATATGGTGGATCTGGTAACCCAGGTCTAGTGTGATGTAAAGTTGATATGGTGGACCTGGTAACCCAGGTCTAGTGTGATATAAAGTTGATATGGTGGACCTGGTAACCCAGGTCTAGTGTGATGTAAAGTTGATATGGTGGACCTGGTAACCCAGGTCTAGTGTGATGTAAAGTTGATATGGTGGTCCTGGTAGCCCAGGTCTAGTGTGATGTAAAGTTGATATGGTGGACCTAGTAACCCAGGTCTAGTGTGATGTAAAGTTGATATGGTGGACCTAGTAACCCAGGTCTAGTGTGATGTAAAGTTGATATGGTGGACCTAGTAACCCAGGTCTAGTGTGATGTAAAGTTGATATGGTGGTCCTGGTAGCCCAGGTCTAGTGTGATATAAAGTTGATATGGTGGACCTGGTAACCCAGGTCTAGTGTGATGTAAGTTGATAATGGTGGACCTGGTAACCCAGGTCTAGGTGATGTAAAGTTGATATGGTGGTCCTGGTAGCCCAGGTCTATTGTGATGTAAAGTTGATATGGGGACCTGTAACCCTAGGTGATATGTGGTGGACTAGAAAAGGGTTAGGTATGTTTTGGGACCTAGTAACCCAGGTCTAGTGTGATGTAAAGTTGATATGGTGGTCCTGGTACCCAGGTCTAGTGTGATGTAAAGTTGATATGGTGGACCTGGTAACCCAGGTCTAGTGTGATGTAAAGTTGATAATGGTGGACCTGGTAACCCAGGTCTAGTGTGATGTAAAGTTGATATGGTGGTCCTGGTAGCCCAGGTCTATGTGATGTAAAGTTGATATGGTGGACCTGGTAACCCAGGTCTAGTGTGATGTAAAGTTGATATGGTGGACCTGGTAACCCAGGTCTAGTGTGATGTAAAGTTGATATGGTGGTCCTGGTAGCCCAGGTCTAGAGTGATGTAAAGTTGATATGGTGGACCTGGTAACCCAGGTCTAGTGTGATGTAAAGTTGATATGGTGGTCCTGGTAACCCAGGTCTAGTGTGATGTAAAGTTGATATGGTGGATCTGGTAACCCAGGTCTAGTGTGATGTAAAGTTGATATGGTGGTCCTGGTAACCCAGGTCTAGTGTGATATAAAGTTGATATGGTGGACCTGGTAACCCAGGTCTAGTGTGATGTAAAGTTGATAAGGTGGACCTGGTAACCCAGGTCTAGTGTGATGTAAAGTTGATATGGTGGTCCTGGTAGCCCAGGTCTAGTGTGATGTAAAGTTGATATGGTGGACCTAGTAACCCAGGTCTAGTGATGTAAAGTTGATATGGTGGACCTAGTAACCCAGGTCTAGTGTGATGTAAAGTTGATATGGTGGACCTAGTAACCCAGGTCTAGTGTGATGTAAAGTTGATATGGTGGACCTAGTAACCCAGGTCTAGTGTGATGTAAAGTTGATATGGTGGTCCTGGTAAGCCCAGGTCTAGTGTGATGTAAAGTTGATATGGTGGACCTGGTAACCCAGGTCTAGTGTGATGTAAAGTTGATATGGTGGACCTGGTAACCCAGGTCTAGTGTGATGTAAAGTTGATATGGTGGTCCTGGTAGCCCAGGTCTAGAGTGATGTAAAGTTGATATGGTGGACCTGGTAACCCAGGTCTAGTGTGATGTAAAGTTGATATGGTGGTCCTGGTAACCCAGGTCTAGTGTGATGTAAAGTTGATATGGTGGATCTGGTAACCCAGGTCTAGTGTGATGTAAAGTTGATATGGTGGATCTGGTAACCCAGGTCTAGTGTGATGTAAAGTTGATATGGTGGACCTGGTAACCAGGTCTAGTGTGATGTAAAGTTGATATGGTGGTCCTGGTAGCCCAGGTCTAGTGTGATGTAAAGTTGATATGGTGGTCCTGGTAGCCCAGGTCTAGTGTGATGTAAAGTTGATATGGTGGACCTAGTAACCCAGGTCTAGTGTGATGTAAAGTTGATATGGTGGACCTAGGTAACCAGGTCTAGTGTGATGTAAAGTTGATATGGTGGACCTAGTAACCCAGGTCTAGTGTGATGTAAAGTTGATATGGTGGTCCTGGTAGCCCATGTCTAGTGTGATGTAAAGTTGATATGGTGGACCTGGTAGCCCAGGTCTAGAGTGATGTAAAGTTGATATGGTGGACCTGGTAACCCAGGTCTAGTGTGATGTAAAGTTGATATGGTGGTCCTGGTAATCCAGGTCTAGTGTGATGTAAAGTTGATATGGTGGATCTGGTAACCCAGGTCTAGTGTGATGTAAAGTTGATATGGTGGATCTGGTAACCCAGGTCTAGTGTGATGTAAAGTTGATATGGTGGATCTGGTAACCCAGGTCTAGTGTGATGTAAAGTTGATATGGTGGATCTGGTAACCAAGGTCTAGTGTGATGTAAAGTTGATATGGTGGATCTGGTAGCTCAGGTCTAGGTGATGTAAAGTTGATATGGTGGACCTGGTAACCCAGGTCTAGGTGATGTAAAGTTGATATGGTGGATCTGTAACCCAGGTCTAGTGTGATGTTAAGTTGATATGGTGGACTGGTAACCCAGGTCTAGTGTGATGTAAAGTTGATATGGTGGTCTGGTAGCCAGGTCTAGTGTGATGTAAAGTTGATATGGTGGATCTAGTAACCCAGGTCTAGTGTGATGTAAAGTTGATATGGTGGACCTGGTAACCCAGGTCTAGAGTGATGTAAAGTTGATATGGTGGACCTAGTAACCCAGGTCTAGTGTGATGTAAAGTTGATATGGTGGACCTGGTAACCCAGGTCTAGTGTGATGTAAAGTTGATATGGTGGTCCTGGTAGCCCAGGTCTAGTGTGATGTAAAGTTGATATGGTGGACCTGGTAACCCAGGTCTAGTGTGATGTAAAGTTGATACGGTGGACCTGGTAACCCAGGTCTAGTGTGATGTAATGTTGATATGGTGGACCAGTAACCCAGGTCTAGTGTGATGTAAAGTTGATATGGTGGACCTGTAACCCAGGTCTAGTGTGATGTAATTTGATATGGTGGACCTGTGTAAGCCCAGGTCTAGGTGATGTAAGTTGATATGGTGGACCTGGTAACCCAGGTCTAGTGTGATGTCAAGTTGATATGGTGGACCTGGTAACCCAGGTCTAGTGTGATGTAAAGTTGATATGGTGGACCTAGTAACCCAGGTCTAGTGTGATGTAAAGTTGATATGGTGGACCTAGTAACCCAGGTCTAGTGTGATGTAAAGTTGATATGGTGGACCTGGTAACCCAGGTCTAGTGTGATGTAAAGTTGATATGGTGGACCTGGTAGCCCAGGTCTAGAGTGATGTAAAGTTGATATGGTGGATCTGGTAGCCCAGGTCTAGAGTGATGTAAAGTTGATATGGTGGACCTGGTAACCCAGGTCTAGTGTGATGTAAAGTTGATATGGTGGACCTGGTAGCCCAGGTCTAGTGTGATGTAAAGTTGATATGGTGGACCTGGTAGCTCAGGTCTAGTGTGATGTAAAGTTGATATGGTGGACCTGGTAAGCCCAGGTCTAGGTGATGTAAAGTTGATATGGTGGCCTGGTAGCTCAGTCTAGTGTCATGTAAAGTTGATATGGTGGTCCTGGTAGCCCATGTCTAGTGTGATGTAAAGTTGATATGGTGGTCCTGGTTGCCCAGGTCTAGTGTGATGTAAAGTTTATATGGTGGACCTAGTAACCCAGGTCTAGTGTGATGTAAAGTTGATATGTTGGACCTAGTAACCCAGGTCTAGTGTGATGTAAAGTTGATTGGTGGACCTGTAACCCAGGTCTAGTGTGATGTAAAGTTGATATGGTGGACCTGGTAACCCAGGTCTAGTGTGATGTAAAGTTGATATGGTGGTCCTGGTAGCCCAGGTCTAGAGTGATGTAAAGTTGATATGGTGGATCTGGTAGCCCAGGTCTAGAGTGATGTAAAGTTGATATGGTGGACCTGGTAACCCAGGTCTAGTGTGATGTAAAGTTGATATGGTGGACCTAGTAACCCAGGTCTAGTGTGATGTAAAGTTGATTTGGTGGACCTAGTAACCCAGGTCTAGTGTGATGTAAAGTTGATTTGGTGGACCTAGTAACCCAGGTCTAGTGTGATGTAAAGTTGATATGGTGGACCTGGTAACAAAGGCACCCCTGGGGAGTTATCTTTTGTAAAAGCAGCTGTTAATTGGTCATTGGAATCCTGGGAGGCTTAGGTCTATGACCAAGATAGAATTAAAATAAAATACTAATCTCAAGTCAGGTGTAATCAGAATGCTTTGGATGTTGAATTAACTTGACGACTTGTTAAAGAAAAGGGCAAAAAGCATACCTCTTGTTAGCTTAAGAAATTGAAGGGGGATAAATGCATCCTGATTATATGAAGCGATCTATGACGATGCTTTTAGACTTCAAACCAAGGGTAGGGCTTACCCCCACACACACCCGTCGCTATGGGCGGGCCATAGGGGGCCGGGCCCGCCCCCAAAAATGCTTGTGCCCCCCCCCCACTTGAGGGAATTTTCATTTCATTACATTTCATATGCCCCCCTTAAGACTGAGGTCTGGCGACGGGTCTGCCCCCACATACCCCCTCAATTCGATCCCCGGTTATAGGATCTCTATGGTGAAGTCCTCATGGAGGGGTTGGCTGACATACAGGTATCCATTAGTAGGTTCTCTAGACAACAGGGATGAGCTCTCACCTGGGCGTCAACAGGTCACACAGGTCAACCCTGGTACTATATGACATGTCCTTGAAATGTCATTGTTTCGTAAATGGAATCATCAAGACAACTGTTAGCTATATTTTATTATTAATAGCGTATAGGTTGTATAGAAATTACAAATATTTGTAATTATACTATACTATAGTAGCATGCACCACCAAACAACTACCCCTGGCCTCCCATCTGAGCCTGGTTCCTCTCTAGGGTATTTTTCCTTTGAGGGTGTTCTTACTCTCTAGGGTGTTCTTCCTCTCTGGGGTGTTCTTCCTCTCTAGGGTGTTCTTCCTCTCTAAGGTGTTCTTCCTCTCTAGGGTGTTCTTACTCTCTAGGGTGTTCTTCCTCTCTAGGGTGTTCTTACTCTCTAGGGTGTTCTTCCTTTCTAGGGTGTTCTTCCTCTCTAGAGTGTTCTTCAACTCTAGGGTGTTCTTCAACTCTAGGGTGTTCTTCCTCTCTAGGGTGTTCTTCCTCTCAAGGGTGTTCTTCCTCTCTAGGGTGTTCTTCCTCTCTAGGGTGTTCTTACTCTCTAGGGTGTTCTTCCTTTCTAGGGTGTTCTTCCTCTCTAGAGTGTTCTTCAACTCTAGGGTGTTCTTCAACTCTAGGGTGTTCTTCCTCTCTAGGGTGTTCTTCCTCTCAAGGGTGTTCTTCCTCTCTAGGGTGTTCTTCCTCTCTAGGGTGTTCTTCCTCTCTAGGGTGTTAGGGTGTTCTTCCTCTCTAGGGTGTTCTTCCTCTCTAGGGTATTCTTCCTCTCTAGGGTGTTCTTCCTCTATAGGGTGTTCTTCCTCTCTAGGGTGTTCTTCCTCTCTAGGGTGTTCTTCCTCTCTAGGGTGTTCTTCAACTCTAGGGTGTTCTTCAACTCTAGGGTGTTCTTCAACTCTAGGGTGTTCTTCAACTCTAGGGTGTTAGGGTGTTCTTCCTCTCTAGGGTGTTCTTCCTCTCTAGGGTGTTCTTCCTCTCTAGGGTGTTAGGATGTTCTTCCTCTCTAGGGTGTTCTTCCTCTCTAGGGTGTTCTTACTCTCTAGGGTGTTCTTCCTCTCTAGGGTGTTCTTCCTCTCTAGGGTGTTCTTACTCTCTAGGGTGTTCTTACTCTCTAGGGTGTTCTTCCTCTCTAGGGTGTTCTTCTCTCTAGGGTGTTCTTACTCTCTAGGGTGTTCTTACTCTCTAGGGTGTTCTTACACTCTAGGTGTGTCTTACACTCTATGGTGTTCTTACTCTCTAGGGTCTAGGGTGTTCTTTGGTTCTTCTGGTTATACTGCTCCATTTCTGCTTGCTAAGCACTTTGTGACAACTGAGATGTAAAAGGGGCGTTATAAATACATTTGATTTTTATTAGGGTTGTATCCAGACTTTTTATTATGACATTTTCTGTATGGCTTTAAAGACAATATTTCATTTGGAAGAAAAAAAATATTTCTCATTTAAGTGAAGCAACAATTATTCACTTTGGCAGATACACTATCTTACACAGAATATCAATAAAAAACAAGTCAAATAGATATATAAATAAAGTTGAACACTTCATGTTGATTGGACCGGCGCCACAGCTCTCTGGGCTCCTCTTGTACTAAGCAGCTTCTTGGCCGATTCCTTAAACTCCTCTGTCTTCAGAACATATATGATTGGGTTGAGCATGGGTGGCAGCACCGAGGTCAGGGAGAGGTTGATGATCCGGGCGTTGGTTGGTATGATTGGGTGAAGGAGGAAGGTGAAATTAATAGGCAGGTAGAATATGGCTACGAGTATCAGGTGTGAGGTGCACGTCTTCACGGCTCTGATTCTGAGGGAAAAAAAGAGATGGAGAGAGAAGGAGGGAGAGAGAAGGAGAGAGAGCGAAGGAGAGAGAAGGAGGGAGAGAGAAGGAGAAGGAGGGAGAGAGAAGTCCATCACTCTAACAACATACAATATATACAAAGGTATGTGGACACCCCTTCAAATTAGTGGATTCAGCTATTTCAGCCACACCTGTTGCTGACAGGTGTATAAAATCGAGCACACCGCCATGCAATCTCCATAGACAAACATTGGCAGTAGAATGGCCTTACTGAAGAGATCAGTGACTTTTAATGTGGTACTGTCATAGGATGCCACCTGTCCAACAAGTCAGTTGGTCAAATTTCTGCCCTGCTAGAGCTGCCCTTGTCAACTGTAAGTGCTGTTATTGTGAAGTGGAAACGTTTAGGAGCAACAACGGCTCAGCAAGAAAGTGGTAGGCCACACAAGCTCACAGAACGGGACAGCCGAGTGCTTAAGCGCATAAAAATTGTCTGTCCTCGGTTGCAACATTCACTACCAAGTTCCAAACTGTCTCTGGAAGCAACGTCAGCACAATAACTGTTCGTCGGGATGTTCATGAAATGGGTTTCCATGGCCGAGCAACCGCACACAAGCCGAAGATCACCATGCACAATGCCAAGCGTCGGCTGGAGTGGTGTAAAGCTCTCCGCCATTGGACTCTGGAGCAGTGGAAACGCGTTCTCTGGAGTGATGAATCACGCTTCACCATCTTGCAGTCCGACTGACAAATCTGGGTTTGGCAGATGCATAGTGCCAACTGTAAAGTTTGGTGGAGGAGGAATAATGGCCTTGGGCTGTTTTTCATGGTACGGGCTAGGCCCCTTAGTTCCAATGAAGGGAAATCTTAGCTACAGCATACATTCTAGACGATTCTGTGCTTCCAACTTTGTGGCAACCGTTTGGAGAAGGCATTTTCCTGTTTCAGCATGACAATGCCACAGTGCACCACAGGAGGTTGGTGGCGCCTTAATTGGGGAGGACTGGCTCTTGGTATTGGCTGGAGCGGAAAAGGGGGAATGGTATCAAATACATCTAACACATGGTTTCCATGTGTTTAATGCCATTCCATTTGCTCCGTTCCAGCCATTATTATGAGCCATCCTCCCCTCAGCAGCCTCCACTGCAGTGCGCAAAGCGAGGTCCATACAGAAATGGTTTGTCGAGATGGAAGAACTTGACTAGCCTGCATAGAGCCCTGACCTCAACCCCATCGAACACCTTTGGGATGAATTGGAATGCAGACTGCGAGCCCGGCCTAATCGCCCAACATCAGGGCTCGACCTCACTAATGTCCTTGTGGCTGAATGGAAGCAAGTCCCTGTAGCAATGTTCCAACATCTAGTGGAAAGCCTTCCCAGAAGAGTGGAGGCTGTTGTAGCAGCTAAGGGGGGACCAACTCCATTTTAATGCCCATGATTTTGGAATGAGATGTTCGACGAGCAGGTGTCCACATACTTTTGGTCATGTAGTGTATTTCTGAGACAGCACAACAATCAGTATCAGAGCTATATATTTAGTTATATAAACAAAATATCTCGCTAACTATCTGACTCTGATCAGTATTACTTCTCACCTGTCCTGGGGCTGTGTGATGGTGAACAGGGCGTGTGTGATACAGATGTAGGATGATATGATGAATACCATGGGGAGATAGAGGACTATACAGGGGTTGAGATAAGACATCACTATGTTAGGGACCACATCAGAACAGGGGGCCGCCAGACGGAACAGGGGACCGTGGTCACAGAAGTAGCTGTTGATCACCAGAGACCTACAATACAATACATCTTCAGTGTCCATATGTTACAGTGATCAAATGATCATTTATTTTTCTCCAGCACCCAGCCCGGTAACCTTTCGGCTACAGGTTCACCTTCTCAGCCACCTACCTACAGAAGGAGAGTCGGGTGATGAGGTACACAGCCAGCAACACAATGAACACAGCAAGGGCCCAGGCAGCACCTGTCAGCTGGAACATGGACCTGTGAGTAACCATCATGTGGTACCTATATGGACAGTGGAAAGAAGCTGTTAATAAGGATTTTAGATGCAGTGTATTCATATATGAGGTTGAATTGTCAGTGAAAGCAGTCAATTTGATTCAAAATACATTCTTTATCCCACAAGGGGAAATTATGTAGGCCTTTTGAAATTGTATTTTAATTGAATTATTTGATTTGATGTATTATCTGAGACCTGAGCGGGCAGCAGATGGCCACCAGTCTGTCGTAGGAGAGGATGGTGAGGTTAAAGGACTGCATGGTGAGGAAGAGGAAGATGAAGAAGAGGCTAGTGAGGCACTGGTTGTAGGAGATGAGCTGTCTGCTGAACAGGAACGTATCCAGGAGCTTGGGGACCAGGGCTGTGCTCTCACACACGTCTGCGAAGGCTAGGTTGAACACAGCAATGTACTTGGGGCTGAAAGGTAAGATCGTGACTTGATTATCTCCATGGGGAAATGTTATTTGTGCAATAGACACAGGACATAGACAATTACAGAGAAGGTAAATACAATCAATCAGTGAAGAGGTAGACAAAATGTGCAGATCCTAAATATCTGTACACTGTCATCTGTAATGTGCACTGTCAGCTGGACCTACTGGTGGTTTTCATTCAGAATCAACTATAGACCAGCCAGCTGGACCTACTGGTGGTTTTCATTTAGAATCAACTATAGACCAGCCAGCTGGACCTACTAGTGGTTTTCATTCAGAATCAACTATAGACCAGCCAGCTGGACCTACTGGTGGTTTTCATTCAGAAGCCTTATTGAGAGGCAGGCCGGTAACCAGGGATACAGTTCAAGTGTTGTGTGTGTTGTCATTCATCTGGTTGGGTACTGGGACTGAAAAAAGATAGAATGTCCAATAAAGGTAGTATTATGCTGTATTATTACCACTGATATAAAAGAGGACTGATTACCTGTGGAGACTGCTGTCCACGTAGATAACCATCATGACGAAGGTGTTGCCCACCTAGACCCAATACACACACACACACACACACACACACACACAGGAGAAACCATGACCTAAAATGGAAATACAGGTAAATGCATTTAGACGTTGACTACGGGTGGCGCTATAGGTCCCCAGCTGAAATGACACTACAGTATATCAGGTTTTCTTAAGCTCTAAAAATATATACATGTGTGCTTTCGATAGGAAAGTGAAACCTTTTCTAGCTTATCAGGTGGACCAACTAGCTGATGCTGGCCTTACGTAACGCCCTAGACCAGAGCTAGTTAGCAACAGCCTGGACCACAGCTAGTTAGTAACAGCCTGGACCAGAGCTAGTTAGCAACAGCCTGGACCAGAGCTAGTTAGCAACAGCCTGGACCACAGCTAGTTAGCAACAGCCTGGACCAGAGCTAGTTAGCAACAGCCTGGACCACAGCTAGTTAGCAACAGCATGGACCACAGCTAGTTAGCAACAGCCTGGACCACAGCTAGTTAGCAACAGCCTGGACCACAGCTAGTTAGCCCATGTTAGCAACAGCCTGGACCACAGCTAGTTAGCAACAGCCTGGACCAGAGCTAGTTAGCAACAGCCTGGACCACAGCTAGTTAGCAACAGCATGGACCACAGCTAGTTAGCAACAGCATGGACCACAGCTAGTTAGCAACAGCCTGGACCACAGCTAGTTAGCAACAGCCTGGACCAGAGCTAGTTAGCAACAGCCTGGACCACAGCTAGTTAGCAACAGCCTGGACCACAGCTAGTTAGCAACAGCCTGGACCACAGCTAGTTAGCAACAGCCTGGAGCAGAGTTATGGACTAACCAGAGAGACGATGTATACGAAGCAGAGGAAGACGTAATAGTACTTAATGTGGGGGATGTCTATGAAACCACTGATGAAGAAGTAAGGGGGTCGGATAATGGTGTCGATGTTCTCTGTCTGGTTAGGGTCAGAAGTCAGGGAACTCATCCTGACTGGTGGTGTTATCAGTGGTTCCTCCTGGCTCGTAAATAATCTGTGGAAATAAATACATTACTGTTTTTTTATTCACCTGTTGAGACATTGCAATGATGTGTACAGCAGCATCAGTACAAAGGCAATTATCCAACAAGTTAAATTGTATTTTTTTAATGTAATTCTATACATCTTTTTTTTAAGAATACAATTATTTTAACTGGTGGGAAAATGACAAGAAAGTGTATAAAATAGAATACATTTGACTTTTACTTCAGATACAGTTCAAAAATCTAATGAATGATCCAAGGAATAGCACTGTAAAAGGTGATATTGGTTTCACGTTCCCTCCATTAGATCAACTCTTACCTGGTGAACCCACACACTGTATAGTCTAACATGGTAAAACTACATACTGTGTAAACTAAGTCTTACCTGGTCTTACCACAGACTGGATCCAACTGTCTCTCTTCAGTAGTCTGGTGATGTCTGTTGGACTGAAGACCCAACGTGTGGTGCTGGCTCTGAGACCACCTCCACTATTATACCTGCAGCCCCCATGGTGAATCTGTAGTAGGATGTCCCCTGTTGGCCACCGTACTTGTGTATGACATGCCTAGATTGAGTGAAGTAGACATGTCAGAGATTATTACCCTTGCTGTTGTTGTTGTTGTGTGGTTGTCATAGGACACACCTCAACACCCTTCTGGAATTACCAGCCACACAGGCTGAGCAGAGAGAGGAGGGAGGAGAGAGAAAGAGAGAAAGAGAGAGAAAGGGTAGGAGAGAGATGACCATTCAGATCATTTTTTTTATGTTTTAGTAAATGTAGTAATTTAAACAATTTAGCAGACACTCTTATCCAGTTGAGCTAATGAATTGAGCTAATGAATGTCCGCTCAGGTCAATGCTAGCTGCTACCAGACATGGTCTGCTGCCGGGTGTGCAGACTTTCGCTCCAACCCTAATCTAACACACCAGATTCTACTATTTAGATACTAGTTAGCTGTTGGACCTTGATTAGCTGAATGAGGTGTGTTAGAGCAGAGCAGGAGCAAAAGCCTTCACACCCAGGCTGCTAGCAATGCCTAGATTGTGGGTTCAATCCCTTCAGGTGTCACATACACATACAAAAAAATAAATGCACGTACTGTACTATAAGTCGCTTTGGATAAAAGCGTCTGCTAACTGTCTTATTTTGGTGAAAATATCAGGCCTAGATTGGGATATTCGGTTGTGGTTATTCGTTAAGGATGACTACAAGAACACTATCTACTGTATCTGTAGTATCATAGAGGATGATTACTAGATCTCTATCTATCTGTAGAGGATGATTACTAGACCTCTATCGATCAGTAGTATCATAGAGGATGATTACTAGACCTCTCTCTATTAGTAGTATCATAGAGGATGATTACTAGACCTATATCTATCAGTAGTATCATAGAGGATGATTACTAGACCTCTATCTCTGTAGTATCATAGAGGATGATTACTAGACCTCTATCTATTAGTAGTATCATAGAGGATGATTACTAGACCTCTATCTATCAGTAGTATCATAGAGGATGATTACTAGACCTCTATCTATATGTAGTATCATAGAGGATGATTACTAGACCTCTATCTATCAGTAGTATCATAGAGGATGATTACTAGACCTCTATCTATCAGTAGTATCATAGAGGATGATTACTAGACCTCTATCTCTGTAGTATCATAGAGGATGATTACTAGACCTCTCTCTATTAGTAGTATCATAGAGGTTGATTTCTAGACCTCTCTCTATTAGTAGCATCATAGAGGATGATTACTAGACCTCTCTCTATTAGTAGTATCATAGAATATGATTACTAGACCTCTCTCTATTAGTAGTGTCATAGAGGATGATTACTAGACCTCTCTCTATTAGTAGTATCATAGAGGATGATTACTAGACCTCTCTCTATTAGTAGTATCATAGAGGATGATTACTAGACCTCTATCTATCAGTAGTATCATAGAGGATGATTACTAGACCTCTATCTATCAGTAGTATCATAGAGGATGATTACTAGACCTCTTTCTCTGTAGTATCATAGAGGATGATTACTAGACCTCTTTCTCTGTAGTATCATAGAGGATGATTACTAGACCTCTATCTATCTGTAGTATCATAGAGGATGATTACTAGACCTCTATTTCTGTAGTATCATAGAGGTTGATTACTAGACCTCTATCTATCAGTAGTATCATAGAGGATGATTACTAGACCTCTTTCTCTGTAGTATCATAGAGGATGATTACTAGACCTCTCTCTATTAGTAGTATCATAGAGGATGATTACTAGACCTCTATCTATCAGTAGTATCATAGAGGATGATTACTAGACCTCTATCTATCAGTAGTATCATAGAGGTTGATTACTAGACCTCTCTCTATTAGTAGTATCATAGAGGATGATTACTAGACCTCTCTATATTAGTAGTATCATAGAGGATACTTCTATCTATCAGTAGTATCATAGAGGATGATTACTATTCCTCTTTCTCTGTAGTATCATAGATGATTACTAGACCTCTTTCTCTGTAGTATCATAGAGGATGATTACTAGACCTCTATCTCTGTAGTATCATAGAGGATGATTACTAGACCTCTATCTGTAGTATCATAGAGGATGATTACTAGACCTCTATCTCTGTAGTATCATAGAGGATGATTACTAGACCTCTATCTATCTGTAGTATCATAGAGGATGATTACTAGACCTCTATCTCTGTAGTATCATAGAGGATGATTACTAGACCTCTATCTATCTGTAGTATCATAGAGGATGATTACTAGACCTCTATCTCTGTAGTATCATAGAGGATGATTACTAGACCTCTATCTATCTGTAGTATCATAGAGGATGATTACTAGACCTCTATCTCTGTAGTATCATAGAGGATGATTACTAGACCTCTATCTATCAGTAGTATCATAGAGGATGATTACTAGACCTCTATCTATCAGTAGTATCATAGAGGATGATTACTAGACCTCTTTCTCTGTAGTATCATAGAGGATGATTACTAGACCTCTTTCTCTGTAGTATCATAGAGGATGATTACTAGACCTCTTTCTCTGTAGTATCATAGAGGATGATTACTAGACCTTTATCTATCTGTAGTATCATAGATTATGATTACTAGACCTCTCTCTATTAGTAGTATCATAGAGGATGATTACTAGACCTCTATCTATAAGTAGTATCATAGAGGTTGATTACTAGACTTCTCTCTATTAGTAGTATCATAGAATATGATTACTAGACCTCTATCTCTGTAGTATCATAGAGGATGATTACTAGACCTCTATCTATCAGTAGTATCATAGAGGATGATTACTAGACCTCTATCTATCAGTAGTATCATAGAGGATGATTACTAGACCTCTTTCTCTGTAGTATCATAGAGGATGATTACTAGACCTCTTTCTCTGTAGTATCATAGAGGATGATTACTAGACCTCTTTCTCTGTAGTATCATAGAGGATGATTACTAGACCTTTATCTATCTGTAGTATCATAGATTATGATTACTAGACCTCTCTCTATTAGTAGTATCATAGAGGATGATTACTAGACCTCTATCTATAAGTAGTATCATAGAGGTTGATTACTAGACTTCTTTCTCTGTAGTATCATAGAGAATGATTACTAGACCTCTATCTATCAGTAGTATCATAGAGGATGATTACTAGACATCTCTCTATTAGTAGTATCATAGAGGATGATTACTAGACCTCTATCTATCAGTAGTATCATAGAGGATGATTACTAGACCTCTTTCTCTGTAGTATCATAGAGGATGATTACTATACCTCTTTCTATCTGCAGTATCATAGAGGATGATTACTAGACCTCTATATATCTGTAGTATCATAGATAGAGGTCTAGTAATCATCCTCTATCTGTCAACACATGAGTCTCCTACTGAGTACACAGACAGTCTAATGAGATAACTAATGAAGACCTGCTTGTCCACACTGCTTAGAAACTCTCTCTGAAGATGAGAGAGGGAGAGACAGAGTGAGAGACAGAGTGAGAGAGAGAGAGAGAGAGAGACAGAGTGAGAGACAGAGTGAGAGAGAGAGACAGAGAGACAGAGAGAGAGAGAGAGAGAGAGAGAGAGAGAGAGAGAGAGAGAAGAGAGAGAGAGATAAACTATTGTGTAAGCAAAAGGCCAAATCCAGCTAACAACAAACAGTTCCCACAACTTTAAAGAACGTTCCGTTAAGAGTCTCATTAGGTCATTAATTAACATTTTCATAGGAATGTTCCTGTGATGTGCAAGGAATGGTTCCAAGAGACCAATCCCTTAATGTCAAATAGAACTTACCTAGAACATGGTTGCCATGTTCTCAGAACATAAGATTGGAATGTTCTAGAAACGTTTCATGAGAACGTTGCAAAAAACATCACGTCTTGTTACTGTTGCTGAGCCAATCAAGGCCCTGATTGGTGAACCACTGATCCATTCACCGCTCTTTGTCTGTTGACAAGGTTAGTGATACTCACACACAGTGCTTTTTAGATAGTGTTTTCAACTTACATATTTGACACACTTTGACATACGTGATTACATTGTGCATGTTAAATTAATCAGTCATTATTATTCAACATGTCCTCAACCTGGGATTAAGAACTCACAATCTCTTACGCCGATCTTCCTGCTACGCCACCATGTCCGTTTAAGGTATCAATTATTCGGACTATTCTCTCATCATTGATTTTATTTACTTACTTCAGAAAAAAGAAGAAACCCGCACACTGCTCTTGCTAGTTTGACTGCTCTTCATTAAGCTTCACGTATCGGCCTCATGGCCTTCGTCAGAGCTTATTAAAGAGCAGTGATACTATCAGGAGCAGTGTGCGGGTTTCTTATTTTTTCTCATGTTATTCAACTGTTGCCATGCACCTGCAACAAAGATAGCTCCGATGTGCGAGTGCCTTTTGAATTTTGATTGACTTATTTCAGAAAAATGTTGGTGGG